TCTTCGTCTGATAGCTTTAACAGTTCCTCAAAATGTTTGGCCCACCTTTCTAATTTTCCTGGAATGTCACCAATTAACGACCCATCTTTGTCTTTATAGAAGCAAGAAGACCTTTGACTACCCAATTTGCTTCTTCTTACATCCTGATAAAAGTTCTTAATGTTTTTGTTGATCATGTGATTTTCTATCATTTTCAAGCCCATTTCCCAGTATTCACGCTTTTTCTTTCTACACATCTCTTTCACTTTTCGTTTGGCTTGCTCATATCTTTTCCTTGACTCTGTTGTTCTAGATACATCTATTTGTATTTTTGCTTTCTGTCTTTGTTCCAATTCCCGTTTACAGTCATCATCGAACCACTCTTTGTTTTTTCTAGTACTCGTTTTTCTCATCATCTGTTCTGCTACATTAGTGATTATTGCTTGGATATGATTCCATTCCTGATTAATATCCTGCACAACTGGTGTGTTTTGCAGTCCTGTCGCTATTGCTTGTTCAAGTTGCTGTCTAACTGACGTATCTTCTAGCGCTTTTGTTTCGTACCTTTTGATTGTCTTCTGTCTCTCTAACTGTTTCTTCGGGATTTCTTGTTTTATAACAGCTACTACCATAAAGTGATCCGTATCACTATCTGCACCACGGTAACTTCTAACATTGTGTATATTTACAGGCATGCTTGTTTTCGATCAGTACGTGGTCAATTTGATTCGCAGTATTACCACCTGGTGAGATCCATGTTGTCTTGTGGATATCTTTCCTGTCAAAATAAGTGCTCATTATCTTGAAATTTTGTTCAATTGCAAAGTTAATCAGGAGTTTGCCATTTTCATTTGAGAGTTCATGTTTGCTTTTCCCTCCTGTAACGTTTCGATAAGTGTCTTCACGCCCAACTTTTGCATTGCAGTCTCCTAATATTATTTTGATATCGTATTTTGGTAGACTATTTATCACGTCATCTAACTGTTGATAAAAGTCTGTTTTGATATCCATATCCTTGTCTTCACTTGGGGCATGTACATTGATCATTGTTACTTTCCTGTACCTTCCTCTCAGGCGTAGATAACACAATCTTTCCGATATAGGTTTAAATTCTACTATCGTGTCTTTTAGCTTTGCATTTATTAGAAATCCTGTCCCAAAAAGTCTATTTGCACCACCGCTATTACAAAATACGAAATTTTCGCACTGGGATATTCCTGTTTCTTTAAGTTTCGTTTCTTGAAGAGCTAGAACGTGTACTTTATATACGTTCACTATGTTGACTAAGTTTTTCAGTGCACCTGCTTCGTAGATACTTCTGACATTCCAAGTTGCAATTCTTATTTGCTCTTCTTTAAATTTATACGTACTTAACGTCTTATTTCTTTCGTTATTTTTATTCCTGTTCCCTACCTGTTCCATTGTCATAGCCACATTTTCTGTCGTCTCCAAGATATCCTTTTCTCTAAACATAACTAGTTTTTTTGAATCAATGTGTCTGGTTTCAACACCTGGTCTTTTTTATCCCATCTCCATTTTTCTCCACTGATCAGCAAGTTCATATAACCTATCTTGACTGTATTTCCTTTTGCTCTCTCCGTTTTAGCTCTGTCTCTTATATGCTTTTGAATCATCATCTCATTTTTTTGTCAAATCACTGTTTATGTAAATTTTTTGCGTTTTCAAATATTGCACCTTACCTTTGGCTTTCATGATCTTCATTTTAGCATCAAAACTCTTCAACTCCGCAATATAGAGGTTCTCTTTTATTTTTTGGGCGGACTGAATATCTGCCTCTGGAGACAGTCTGGTTTTCAGAAAGTTTTCTACTGATTGCTTTAAATCCTCGTTACCTCCTGTCCCTAGGTTTAAACCCGAGATCACTATATTATTTTTTCTTCTACCTTTCTCTAGGAGCTCTATCCTTTGTTCTACTTCTTCCAACTGCTCAACCCTCTGTTTAAGCATACTGATTTCCTGCATCATGTCTTCGTTTCTTTGTTTAAGAATTGTATTTTGTTCTTTAAGTAACCTCATTTCCTCACGATTTTCCTCCCGAAAGCCTCTAAACTCCTCCATAAGACTTTTCATCATGTCCTTAATTTCTTCCATCTCCTTGTTAGTAACTCTTTTATTTCTATCTTTTGTCGGGGTTCTTATTATCTTTTTACTTTTTTTAAAGGCTTCTGTCTCTTGCTCTTCAATCCTCTTTCTTTTGCTTCCCTCGTCTGTTGACTCTTCAGTTGCGCTATCTTCACTCTGTCTAGAGCTGATACGGAATGCCGACATCTACACTCTATTATCTCCGCTTATGCTTTTAGTCTTCTATTATGTATATATGGCTGTCTACGCTGATCCACGCAAGGCGCCGCAGGTACCGATTTCCCGGGTCGACCCCTCGGAGGAAAGATGGTACCGATCAGCTGTTGGCGATTCGAGATTTCTTATTTCAAGTGCAATTGACACTTACCCCGCAGATCTTCACTTTTTGTTTATGTCAAAGTGTCTCAGTTTAACTAATTCACGCTTGACACTACTTTTCAATAAATATAATGACTCGAAACTCTCCGTAATACGAATTTAATTTCGGAGCCCAGTTTTATATTGTTTATCACTCTCAGTGGCGTACACAGTAATATATCAGTTGGATATAATTTTAAATTTAATTTGTTGGCCACCTTAATATTTGCGACATTCAATTGACTACCAGTGTCAATATACCCATTGAAATTTTGACCATTGATTTCTACGGCTATATTATAGAAGGAATTGGACACTTGCTTTTGCAAGATCCTGACATTCATAGGCTTTCCTCGTTCCTTAGTCCAGCAGCTTTCAGCTAGGTGTCCCTTTTTCCCGCAGATGGTGCAGGTAGATGTCATACTCGGTCTTTTCCAACAGTCTTGGTCCTTGTGTCCTATTTTACCGCAACTCGAACAGGTCGGCTTAACCCTGGACCAACACAGCTGCTCCGTGTGTCCCTTCTTTCCGCAACGAGGACAACGGATACCCTGATCACTGCTCCTTGGAGTGCTGCTACTAGCCGCCTGATTGGATCTTCTACGTAAACAATGTCGGGCTTTATGTCCTACCTTCTTGCATAGAATACACCTAAAGGTAGATTGAACTGATGGACTGTGTTGACATTCAAAATTTTCTGTGGTTCCCATTCTCTTAGCTGCCGACTCGCTAATACTCTCTACTTTGCTAAGGAACCCGTAGAACAGCTCGTCTGGTGACTCATGGGGCTTTGGCGTTAGCTTGTAGTGGTATGGGTAATCCGTCAATTATGCAGGAAACTGCATTTTCCCCTGTTAGTCCACATTTTTTTACCAGCATATTATTCGAATAAAAATAATGCATCATGCTCTCATCATTATTCTTACTTCGCGCTAACATTTGTTTTAGCAAGTCAACGTAATCGGTGTGTGAAGGGAAAGCGCGTGAAATAGCCAATTTCCATTCATCCCATTGTAAGTTATAATCTGCTAGCCCGTTGTACCAAACTTTTGCCAATCCGGTAAGGCGGGACTGCATGCAAAATGATTTTTGTTCATCGCTCCAACTATTAATTATTCCAATTTGTTCGATCTTATGTAACCAATTGGTAGCAGTGATCTCTGATTTTTCTGGATCAAACTCGGGTATCAAATCTGCTTTCCCAGTGTATTTCGAATCAGTGCTTTGTATGCAATCACGTTGACTCAAGATCTTACTCACTTTTTCTGCGACAAGTTTGTCAACTTCCGAGAGACTTACAGTTTTCTCGATTTTCCGTTTTTTCGTAGGAGCACACACATAACGTCCAGGTAGTTCGTCACAGTCACTTGAAGTGTCACTCATCTTGCACGAAGTCTATAGCACAGTACTTAGCAACACATTGACTTATTAACTAACCCGTAACAACAAATCAATTTTAGTAAGTTCTATCCCAACTTCTGAGATATTACCAATGTAAAAGTGACGATGCTTGGGAGTTTTAAGAATGAATGAATACGATCCGCTGCGCAACAACGCTCGATTTTTTCTGCCCCATGTATTTACATGTTTTTATCCGGTACCACTTCTGTGTGTACCTATGATTCACCGTCTAATCTTCTCCCAGTGCCGTCCCAGGATACGCTGCACTATTTTTCCGTAACACACGACTTCGTACGCTAACAAAAACAAAACAACACGCCCGATGCTCTGCTCGACAAAACGATAAAGTAATTTATCTATGCAAAACGGTAACTAACCACTGTTACCGTTTCCGATCGATTGCCGGTTCGATAAGAGTGATGAAAGACCGACGCGCTGTTGTCATGTGTGTTTTAAATATTTAATTTAATGAAACTTACTTACTGACTACAAATTTTGGCTGAACTTAGAAAAACTTGATGCCATTTATTTATTATTTAAAAACGTTTTAGATTAGATTATAAAAATTAGTAAGATTGAGGTGATTGTGGTCGACATAAAGCACTTAAAGTTGTAAACTATAAAGCCACTTAGACAAAAATCTATTGACTTTTGGACCATGGGTCATATGAACTTTTTGACTTGTTATGACCCCCCTATTACCCATTTCAATAATGACTACCATAACGTATTTATACGCTCCCAACCTCGGTAATTATATGCAACTATTAACCAGATTTCACATATCATAGATTTACATGCACATTTGCCTTTAAATTAGAATGAAAGAGAAATGTTTTCGATCCGCGTACTCCTGGTATCTGAGCCTAGCTCCCTGCGAAGCGGTCCGGATGACATATATATCCCACAAAACATCAATCGATACTGCAGTGATGCCGCGCATAAGTAGAAAGGGACAACGTTGTCAGATGGCAGTAGCTACCGGTACGGCAGGCAAAGAATGTCTATGGACTAAATGTATGAGTCTGTTCAACTGACTTAATCCATTGAATTATCCTGTTGTACATGTTCGTAACTGACCTTTTTCTGAGGGGATTTAAATTGCATTGAACTTAATCATTTACAGATACAATCTTCTTGACGCTATTATTTCATTTTAGCAACCAGATATGGTTAAGCGCGACAACAAATATGTTCGCTCACTGCAGATGTCGACCAAGTTGAAGTTTCCATTTCCCCATATGTTTGCTGTGATAGTTAGGGAGCTGTCAACTGGTAATAGTCAGCTACTTTCTGAGGGCACAGCTGATATTATCTTAGATTCTTGTATTGATTATTGGGACGGATATGATCTAGTCCCATTGACATATGGTGACCGAAAGAAAATACAAGATTTCTATCAGCGAAGCAGTTTGACAGCTTATTGTACAGCTTTTGCATACAGGTGAGTGGAAATATATTTTATATAAAACTTTTTTGTTTATTTATCAGATTCAAACCAAAACATGAATTTCGCTTAAATCGATAAAATGAACCTCTATGTTTAAATTACAGGCCTCTTTCAAAAACTATCAGTACTAGTTTGAGTGACCTCTACCTAGAACTGCCAAGCGACTCCAGACATTTATACCAGAGCCTCAGAAGCCCTACCCCGGCTCACTGGGATTGTGTTCTCGAACCGAAAATCAAGACGACTCAGTTTTATAGTACAGACTCTCTGTTATATAATGATTATTCCACAGGAAATATGACAGATGCTGAGAGTTGTTTTCAGATGCAGTGCAATCAGATTTTCATTGGTATGGTTACTATGCAGTATCAAGTATTGACTGATATGGTAAGTATCAATATACTAAAATTGAATGCGACTTGATATGCAACTTAGATACCAACGGAATATATATATATGTACAGGGTTATCCAAATTAAGTGTCCACCATTAGTAACTTTGTTATTAGTGAAAATACAAAATTGTTTGAATTAGCAAACTAGTAGCATTTTTAACGCTGGTAAAAATAAGAAATAAAAAAAAACAATTGAGAGTCGTTATTTTGATTTTTTTCAGTAAAATAACATTTTTTTAAATGGAAACCTCTGTATATTATATTTTTTTCTGTTAAAGCATCAAATTTTAAACAAAAAAGCTTACAATAACTTTTCTCCTAGGTTACAAATTGTTGAAGTTATGGCCTCCAATCTGAAACAATTAAATTGTATCGACAAACTTTATTTTCAACATCAACTTATAATCTTACAAAATACAATAACAATTTTTTTTAAAGAAGATGCTCGAAAACACCACCTTGTTCTTCAATACATTTTTGGGCACGTTTTTCAACTGTCTTAAGTATGGTCCTACCATCTATCTGGGTTATCTTTTCCCTAACTGCAGTCTTTAACGCGTCAAGGTTATCGTACCTTCGCTTGTAAATTTGGTTCTTTAAGTAACCCCACAAGAAGTAATCAAGTGGGTTTAGATCTGGTGATCTGGGAGGCCACTGTATTGGGCCATTTGTTCCTATCCACTGATCATTAAAAGTAGTACTTAGAAAATGATAAGTACCTCTGGAGTTGTGGGCAGGTGCGCCATCTTGCTGAAAATGCAGATGATGTCTACTTATAAGATCCAATTCGTCTAAGAAATTAGTCAGAATTTCTGACATAAAATCCACATATCTTTCACCAGTTAGGGTTCCCTCATAAAAGAACGGGCCAACAATTTTTGAACCAATTATACCGCACCAAACGTTGAAACTGAAACGGACTTGTGGGCCTCTTGGATGTACTAACAAAAGATTTTCTCTTGACCAATAATGGTGGTTTTTTCTATTAAACATTCCATAATTTGAAAAATTTGATTCATCTGTCCATAAAAGGTAACGAAAGTTATTTACATTTTGGCGACAGAAGCTAAGATACCAATGGCAAAAAACAAGTCTTCTCTCTGGATCCCCTGCCAAAAGCGTTTGAACTGGTCGGTACTTATACGGAATAAATTTGTATTTTTTTAAAATCCTTTGAACAGTACCATAACTGAAATTAGAGTCCTTGAGAATATCTGCTATTGAATTCTTACGATAAGCTTCAAAATATCCAATAACTGCAATTTCCGTGGCCTCGCTTATTATGAATTCTTTTTTTGCCCTTGTTTTAGCAAAAACATTTTCGTTGCCCCTAAATTTTCGATAGAGTCTCAGAAAATATCGTTCATACGGTTGAATGCGAGCGGGATATAATTCACTGTAGTATTCTCTTGCTCTCAAGGAGGATTTTCTGCACACTAAATAGCATTCTAACATATCACACTTTTCTTCATGGGAGAACATTTTTCTTTAAATTAATGACACAATAAAGCTTATAAACAAGTATTTACACTAATGTTTGACATTATTTGATTTTATCATTGTTTTCCAAAGCCTTCTAGTTGCGAGTATGTCCAGTTTAACAATTTGTCGCTTATCTTAATGCTTTCAAATCGCGAACGCCATGTTGTTTTCATAGCCGTCTTAATATTATAATACTGCAAATAATTAAAAATATTTATCGTTATTTTGACTTTAGCGGAAAAGTCATTATGAACTTTTTTGTTTAAAATTTGATGCTTTAACAGAAAAAAATATAATATACAGGGGTTTCTATTTAAAAAAATGTTATTTTACTGAAAAAAATCAAAATAACGACTCTCAATTGTTTTTTTTTATTTCTCATTTTTACCAGCGTTAAAAATGCTACTAGTTTGCTAATTCAAACAACTTTGTATTTTCACTAATAACAAAGTTACTAATGGTGGACACTTAATTTGGATAACCCTGTATATATATATATATACATTATATATAATATATATATATATATATACAGGGTGACTTTGAAGTTGAGTCATTAATTTTCAGATAATGATTGTAGAAGGAAGATAAACCAAAATATGTGTGCAAAAATAAAAAAAAAATAAAAAAAAAATTTTAACTTGTTTTATAAAGTATCCTCCCGACAAGTATTTCAGTGCGGACCTGTATTTGATCGTGAGGTCCCCTGTGAGGTCTTAAGTCACCTGATTCACGAGCCCGTTGTACTACATTAACAAAGGCACGAGGGGTTGGTTGCACTCGATTGGGAAACCGATCCGCATAAACATGTGCCATTTTTTATTTCGTTTGAGCCACGCAACACATACCACTATTCACTGACACTAACTGTATACAAATGAATGAGATACCTGTAAAAACATCGTTCCAAATTCTTTCGCTTTTTTGTTTCCGATGCGATGAACCGATACGGCGGATTATATCCATTGTCGCCAAACACGACCACATAATATTGTTATTGAGACAGGGCGGTACTCAAACTTCCAAAGGGCTATAACTTTGTTACTTTAATTTTACCAGGAAAATGGTAAAGGAAAAAAACATTTCTTTTGATCAGATCTACTCACTGTTAAAATAAATGACTCAACTTCGAAGTCACCCTGTATATATATACAGGGTGGCCAAACACGTGACGTCATAAAAAAAAATTAGATTCCCCACATTGAGAGGAACCCAAATCACCCCCATATATATGGTCCGATTTTGTTTAGTTTAGGAGTTATGATTTTTTTTCGGATTTTTCGAGAATTTTTGAGTTCTGTGTTTATTTTTACAATAACTTCGTTAATAATTGTGATAAATGCCTGCTTTTTTCACGATTATGTAGCTAAGACCTAAGGCTTAACTATCATATAATCATTCAAGTCATGTAACTAATACTACTTTTTAATTTTTTTCAAAATCTTCGAACATAACAAAAAAGTAAAAAAGTGCAACAACTTTGAACGTTTATAAAAAATTGAAAAAACATGTTCTTACTATTCGTAAGTATCTTAAAAACTTCCTTACGGTATCAGCTATTTACCGTAAAAATTTCATCAACCTAGCTTTACTACATGCTACCGTAATTGTGGCTCAAATAGAACCGAACCCAAAATTGGATAACCCTCTGCTCAATAGAAATTGTTAGTTTCGGAAAAAAAAATTGCAAAAACCACAAAAACACGTTTGATTTTTACTGAACAGCAGATTATTATTCATTTATGTTATTTACAAGAGGTTTTCAAAATGTCTGCCTCTAACAGAAATGCACAGTGTACACCTACGTATGAAATTTTGTTTTAAATCTCTAAATGCTTGTGTGTTGTTTTTCAACACATGTGTCGCTTCTTGAATTTTGTTCCTCAATGAATTTTCATTTGCACATTCTTGGGCGAATGTTATGTCTTTAAAATATCCCCAAACAAAAAAATTATACGTTGCGTGAATATGCAGAAATGCATTATTATTATGGCGTTGCTCAAGGCAACGGCGCTTTAGCAGCTCAGCTGTACCGGGAACAACTTATACGCCGAGGCGGACCACAACCTGAGCATTACCCAGACCACCGTGTTTTTATTAACACACATAACACTTTCATGGCAGGCCGCATTCCAGGGCGAGGAAGCAATGAAGGATATCCTACAGCTGATCCGGATCGCAGAGAAGTAGTACTTGAAGAAATTAGCCGGAATCCCTCAACGAGTACGAGATCTATGGCACAAAACCTTAGAATACCACGAACATCGATACAAAATATTCTTCATGAAGAAGGTTATCATGCCTATCATGTTCAAAGAGTTCAACCGTTGATGCCTTCAGATTACCAGTTAAGAGTGGATTTCTGCGAGACAATGCTGCGAAGACAACGAGAGGATCCCGATTTCTTTGATAAAATTTTATGGACTGACGAGTCACGTTTTGAAAGAACAGGGATATTCAATATCCATAATTTACATACTTGGGCTGTTGAAAACCCCCACCAGTCAAGGCCGTCGACATTTCAACACCGTTTTAGTGTGAACATGTGGTCAGGAATATTCAATATGGAATTTATCGGTCCATTTGAACTGCCGTCAAGGTTGGATTCGGTAGCCTACAAAAGCTTCCTTGAAAATAGCCTACCATTATTGCTGGAAGATTCAAGCCTTTAAGCCAGACGGAACATGGTGTTCCAGAATGATGGTGCACCATGCCACAACGCAACGATCGTGCGAAACTACTTAAACGAAAGGTTCCCAGACAGATGGATCGGACGAAACGGACCGATACGATGGCCTCCACGCTCCCCTGACCTCAACCCCATTGATTTTTTTGTTTGGGGATATTTTAAAGACATAACATTCGCCCAAGAATGTGCAAATGAAAATTCATTGAGGAACAAAATTCAAGAAGCGACAGATGTGTTGAAAAACAACACACAAGCATTTAGAGATTTAAAACAAAATTTCATACGTAGGTGTACACTGTGCATTTCTGTTAGAGGCAGACATTTTGAAAACCTCTTGTAAATAACATAAATGAATAATAATCTGCTGTTCAGTAGAAATCAAATGTGTTTTTGTGGTTTTTGCAAATTTTTTTTCCGAAACTAACAATTTCTATTGAGCAGAGGGTTATCCAATTTTGGGTTCGGTTCTATTTGAGCCACAATTACGGTAGCATGTAGTAAAGCTAGGTTGATGAAATTTTTACGGTAAATAGCTGATACCGTAAGGAAGTTTTTAAGATACTTACGAATAGTAAGAACATGTTTTTTCAATTTTTTATAAACGTTCAAAGTTGTTGCACTTTTTTACTTTTTTGTTATGTTCGAAGATTTTTAAAAAAATTAAAAAGTAGTATTAGTTACATGACTTGAATGATTATATGATAGTTAAGCCTTAGGTCTTAGCTACATAATCGTGAAAAAAGCAGGCATTTATCACAATTATTAACGAAGTTATGGTAAAAATAAACACAGAACTCAAAAATTCTCGAAAAATCCGAAAAAAAATCATAACTCCTAAACTAAACAAAATCGGACCATATATATGGGGGTGATTTGGGTTCCTCTCGATGTGGGGAATCTAATTTTTTTTTTATGACGTCACGTGTTTGGCCACCCTGTATATATATATTGTAACGGACAGTAGTTACTGTCCTCAAGTAAATTTTTTAAAAAGTATATATACAGGGTGACTTCGAAGTTGAGTCATTTATTTTAACAGTGAGTAGATCTGATCAAAAGAAATGTTTTTTCCTTTACCATTTTTCTAGTAAAATTAAAGTAACAAAGTTATAGCCCTTTGGAAGTTTGAGTACCGCCCTGTCTCAATAATAATATTAGGTATATGTTCGTGTTTGGCGACTACGGATATAATCCGCCTGACCGGTTCATCGCATCGGAAACAAAAAAGCGAAAGAATTTGAAACGTTTATCACGATGTTTTTCGTCAGTCGATAACGCGTTAGTGAATAGTAGTGTTTGTTGCGTGGCTCAAACGAAATCAAAAATGGCACATGTTTACGAAAATGCTGAACTTGTGGACATGATTCTTATTTACGGGGGGGCAGTCTTTACAAAATGCTCCCGGATGCATCACGGATTTATGCGAATCGGTTTCCCAATCGAGTGCAACCAACCCCTTGTGCCTTTGTTAATGTAGTACAAAGGGCTCGTGAATCAGGTGACTTAAGACCTCACAGGTCAGGGCATGCTGCTCCAAGACCGCACGATCAAATACAGGTCCGCACTGAAATACTTGTCGGGACGATACTTTATTAAACAAGGTAACATTTTTTTTTATTTATTTTTTTATTTTTACACACATATTTTGGTTTATCTTCCTTCTACAATCATTATCTGAAAATTAATGACTCAACTTCAAAGTCACCCTGTATATATATATATATACAGGGTGACTTCGAAGTTGAGTCATTTATTTTAACAGTGAGTAGATCTGATCAAAAGAAATGTTTTTTCCCTTTAACATTTTTCTGGTAAAATTAAATTAACAAAGTTATAGCCCTTTAGAAGTTTGAGTACCGCCCTGTCTCAATAATAATATTATGTGCTCGTGTTTGGCAACAACGGATATAATCCGCCTTATCTCTTCATCGCATCGGAAACAAAAAAGCGAAAGAATTTGAAACGTTTATCACGATGTCAGTCAATGTTTCAGTCGGTAACGCGTGAGTGAATAGTGGTGTTTGTTGCGTGGCTCAAACGAAATAAAAAATGGCACATGTTTACGAAAATGCTGAACTTGTGGACATGATTCTTATTTAATCGAGTGCAACCAACCCCTCGTGCCTTTGTTAATGTAGTACAAAGGGCTCGTGAATCAGGTGACTTAAGACCTCACAGGGGAGGGCATGCCGGTGCTCCAAGACTGCACGAACAAATACAGGTCCGCACTGAAATACTTGTCGGGAGGATACTTTATAAAACAAGGTAACATTTTTTTTTATTTTTTTTTTATTTTTACACACATATTTTGGTTTATCTTCCTTCTACAATCATTATCTGAAAATTAATGACTCAACTTCAAAGTATATATATATATATATATATAGGTGAAAAATTAAAGCTTCCGCCTTTTGTTGGGTACTTCGACAAGATTTAAGCAAAGAGGACTCTTTATACTTTTTTTAATTCTCTCTAGCTTTCAATGGACTTTGCCATCATCATCAGGAGCTGCAATTACAATGATAACAGTAGCAACAAAGGTGTAAAATGAATTTAAATTGACTCAACTTAGTAGTAGTATGTGAGGATGTTGCTAATTGTTGTTTACGTATAAGATGAGGGAAACGTCCAGTAACATGGTGAGAGCTGAATAGATTGTACAATAGTCAAAATTCATACAAAACATGACAAGAACAAGTTAAAAACAGATTAAAAATTATTTAAAAAATTTTAAACATTACATCGTGAAACCACCTGATGATTGCACAAATTAGTGGTCATGGAATGATGAATTGATGAGTGACATGAAACCCTTTGACAGAAGGCCGAAGGATGTCAATGTCAGTATTGAAAGATGGAACGAATTGTGGGCGTGTGCCAAAACGTTGCCAAATCACTTCAGATGATGAGATTTTTAGAATTTTATGTTAGAATTTGTTAAACCGACCAGAGGCAGTTGAATAAACTATATTATTATTAATGGGAATTTAAATTGACAATTTTTAATAAATCGTGAGGAGAGAATTATTATATTTTGAGTGGAATGAATTTTACTGGTGGAAACGGCCAAAACACAGATTCTAATTATGGTTGTGAAGAGTTGAAATTTGGGGAGATATGTAAGTTCTCCAATTTTTCGCAGTTTAGCAAATATGAGTAAATGACACAAAAGTGATGCTAGGCTACATCCTGAAAGATGCGCTCTAGCATCTCATGTTAACACAACAGGGCATTCTATGAATTACACAAGTATCAAAGTTCTTGATAAAGAAAAACACCTTTCCAAACGTTTATTCCTGGAAATGTCCCACATTTTCATGAATAACAACTGTATCAACAAAAAGACAGATGTTAAACAACTGAGTGTCATTTACTCATATTTGCTAAACTGCGAAAAATTGGAGAACTTACATATCTCCCCAAATTTCAACTCTTCACAACCATAATTAGAATCTGTGTTTTGGCCGTTTCCACCAGTAAAATTCATTCCACTCAAAATATAATAATTCTCTCCTCACGATTTATTAAAAATTGTCAATTTAAATTCCCATTAATAATAATATAGTTTATTCAACTGCCTCTGGTCGGTTTAACAAATTCTAACATAAAATTCTAAAAATCTCATCATCTGAAGTGATTTGGCAACGTTTTGGCACACGCCCACAATTCGTTCCATCTTTCAATACTGACATTGACATCCTTCGGCCTTCTGTCAAAGGGTTTCATGTCACTCATCAATTCATCATTCCATGACCACTAATTTGTGCAATCATCAGGTGGTTTCACGATGTAATGTTTAAAATTTTTTAAATAATTTTTAATCTGTTTTTAACTTGTTCTTGTCATGTTTTGTATGAATTTTGACTATTGTACAATCTATTCAGCTCTCACCATGTTACTGGACGTTTCCCTCATCTTATACGTAAACAACAATTAGCAACATCCTCACATACTACTACTAAGTTGAGTCAATTTAAATTCATTTTACACCTTTGTTGCTACTGTTATCATTGTAATTGCAGCTCCTGATGATGATGGCAAAGTCCATTGAAAGCTAGAGAGAATTAAAAAAAGTATAAAGAGTCCTCTTTGCTTAAATCTTGTCGAAGTACCCAACAAAAGGCGGAAGCTTTAATTTTTCACCTAACTGGTCTAGACGACAATGACCACGTCTCAAGTTATATATATATATATATATACAGATCGCTCTTACTCAAAGCTGACCCAGCTGATGATAAGCCCAACTTTTTTCCCCTGCGTCTCGTCACACGCCAGTAGCCTGCTGGATCTCTTTCTGACCACTCATCCTGTCCCTTACAGCACTGCTGTTCTGTCCCCCCTGGGTAACTCAGACCACGGTGTTGTGGAGGTTAGATTTCGGTCACAACCCGCTGTGGCAGCAGAAACTCGTACAGGCCGCAAAACTTGGCATTACGGACATGCCGACTGGGAGGGGCTCAGAGACTTCTTCTCTAACTTTACTTGGAGAGATGTATGTTTCACTGTCGTGGATGCGTCGGCTGTCTGTTCGTCGACAACAGAAATTGTCCACGTCGGATTGGAGGAATACATCCCTCACACAGTGAACGTGCCTAAACGAGGGTCCAACGGCTGGTGGCTGGTTTAACAAATCGTGTGACACTGCGCACCAGCAGAAGATCAAGGCACACAGAACCTTCTTACAAAACCCCACTGTAGAGAACAGACAAGCTCCACCATGGACGTCCCCCCCCAACGCCCAAGTGCCGTCAATTCAAAGGGTTCCCTGCACTATGCGGGAGGTAACATTCAGGCATGAGACCGTAAGACGAGTGCTCTTGTCGCTCGACATCAACAAAGCTTCTGGTCCGGACTTGATTCCTGCCATTGTACTGAAGAGGTGTACAGCGCAGCTTGCTCCAGTTCTTTCGCGTCTCTTCCAGATATCGTATGAATCCGGCACCTTCCCAGAAAACTGGAAATTTGCTCATGTCCAACCCATCCCAAAAAAGGATCTAAGACCGACCCTTATAACTACAGGCCTATAGCTCTGCTTTCTGTTATAAGTAAGGTGATGGAGAGGTGCATAAATCGCGAGCTTCTGGACTATCTCGAATGTCACAGCTTGATTACCGACAGGCAGTATGGTTTCCGGCATCAATCCACAGGGAACCTCCTAGCTTATGTCACGCAATTATGGAGTAAACTCATCCAGTCTTATGGTGAGGCTCATGTCGTTGCTATGACAATGTTCGCACTTAACAAAATAATTGTCATTAAAATTCAAATATTCGTTGAGTCATGACATCAGCTTTTCAACCCGTAAATCATTTTCGAATCGCTTTCCACAGAAAAATTTCTTAACGTTTGGGAAAGTTAGAAATCTGATATGGCGCATTTTCGAGTAAATGGATTAGTTCAGAATGCCATACCATACAGCCCTAACAACGCACCAATCGCCATTTTTTCTTTATTTTATCTTTGACAAAAAAGTTTAAACATTTCTTAATGAAAGGCGATTCGAATTATGCATGAATAAATGATGAATCTGATTATGTTGTTGAGTAGAAAAATGATTATACTTTGTAGTTTGCGATACAATTTATGTTCATAATTAACTTCTACTTTATTGAACGATGTAATAATTTAGTATAACTCGCGATTAGGTCATCGCATTCAGCCCTTTTTGGGGACCTTTTAGCCTAAATGTGATTTTGAAAGTGAGCTAAGACTACATTTCTCTGATCTTTGGTTCAAGGAACTAGAACTCTGGTATTTTTCTTCGGAAAAATTATATCCACTTGTTGAGATTCCGGATCTGGATACGGTCCTTGGATATCTTCATATTGAAGAAGAAGAGGTTCTGGGTGATTATTATGTTGCTGTGCTTCTGATATCAAATTCTCGTTCAGATGCAAATTAGCGATTTTCTTTTGTAAATGACCGGCCTCGCCCTTCTCCATCAACGTCAGATTCTTGGAGAGTCTAGCCGTTTGGTAGACGTCATCTGGTAATCGGTATGATGCACGGTGGTTACCAAGTGTATGTCCCATAAAAGATGCGAGTGGTTCCATGACATTTTTTGACATGAACAACTGGGTCAATGATGTCAAGTCCTTTCTCAGACGTGTGCTAGTCAGGACATGCGAATTTTTGGCTTGGCACACTCTTGAGTACACAACAGATTTGCATCTCCATGGATTCTCAGAACATAGATAAAAGATAGACATAGCTCTATCCTACTCGGACGCACCTCATTTATAGACGGAATGGAATTCAAGTGATCGGTAGACCGATATGACGCCGTTCAGTTAATTCGGGTATTGTGGACGACTCAGCACTGCTTTCTAACACTGATCTAACAGTGTTTTGTAAATACGTGTATTTTGAGAGACTATTTTGAGGGTATTTTGATGGGCGATGTATCATACGGCTTTTGGTTGTCGTGTCTATATAGTTAATTCTGAGCTATTATAAAAAATCAAAATCAAATAAAGCTTGATTTCCTTATCCAAAAATAACGTCACATGATGGCAAGGGAGGAGGGAAGTAATTCGAGTATTTTCGGAGACTCAATGCTGCGAACCGGAGGGTAGCGGATTATTTCAATTGCAAATATTCCAAGTTTGAAAGTACGCTTTTAAGGCTTTATATCTACATCACACAAAGCCGTGTTTTTCAATTCCGTCGGTTTGTCTGTTGGGGATTTCATTAGTGCATAATCCCAGTAGCATCTGCGCCGATTTCATTAGAAATTGGAGTGATGCGATATAAACATGTGATAGGAAATAATAGATTCTTTTTTATGTTTGTTAGGGGTCTCCGATCATTTTCTGTCATGTTCAGTTTTTCTTTATGGTGGGTTCAAAAATATTTGAAACTCAGAAACGTTGTTTTTTGGTTTTTGCTTTTTATCAATCCAACCAGTCGTAAACAGCACCGTTTATCATCGTTAGGATGTCGTCGATACGACATAGGCTATCGGAGACGGAAAGCAAAGTGCTCCGTAGAACATACAACTTCTCGGACATGTGATAGAAGAAGGTATCCTTGATTTTGTGGGCTGCTCGATGTTTTAATAATTTCAGGGCATAGTCAAAGCATTTTTTGCATGAGTTACAAATTTACTAAACTAGTTGGGCATCCTTCTTTCGCATGCTAGCGATGTCTTGTATAGTCTAAATCGAGTAATTAGTGTACTTAATGTTGCTGAATGGAGATCCTTGGAAGGTAATAGAATAATACAAGCCCGAGCTAGGAGACTTCAATTGTAGTATCTAAAGAGAAATAACTGAAATTTGGCACCATTGCACGGAGGACTTATCCACTGGTATTTAGTTAATCTGAGTATTTTGGAGGACCTAATGCCGCTTTGTTATCTGGAGGGTATTCCGGTAGAGGACACATCATACGGTTTTTGAAAGGGAGACCTATATAGCGGACTTTGTATGGAAATCCGAAATGTTAATGTATAGTTTTTTTAACTGATCTTGGATCAATGAGTCATGTGTTATATCATTTAAATTCAACTTTACTTTTTAAAAAAATTATTTGAGGACAGTAACTACTGTCCGTTACAAACGTTTACAATTACTTGACTTGACGGAGTCAAAACCGGATATTCAACAACATGAAATGGGCGCAAGGCCTATTTATACTATTGGTGTGCTTACAAAGCACTTCTAGAAAACAAAGCATATGCAACGAGTTAGCGAGAAGTCGTTATCTGTTGCTGAGCTAGCGTCTGGTGCAACATTGTATAGAATAGTAAGTCCATTGTTGTGAGTGCATATAACAACTTCCCCCTATTACAAAAAGTTGTTGCCATGCGACAACTTTTGCCAAAACTAGAAAAGTGTACAAGTTGTAAAAATTCAAAAATGTAAAAATGTAGAAACGTAAAATTGTAAACATTGTAAAATATAAAATATAAAAGTAGGAGTAATAAAATTGCAAAATACAAATTGCAAAATAACATCAGAAAATATAGATTCTGAAAAATAAAATTGTTAGCATAGACAAGTAAATGCTGAAACAAAACGTTAAAAGCAAGGCGTACAAAAATATCATTAAAAATGAAAAGGAAAACTGATTTTTCACAATTAGAACTTTTCACTCACTGAACACTACTGTAGTTCAATTTCTTCTTCATGGGGTTGGATGGTTGGTCTTCGATGTGGAAAAAGCCTAGGGATGTATCTGACTTTCGACGTTCCTGGTGACGGTCCATCAGCTGGGTAATTTGATGCACAAATACCGAGTGGTCGGCGTTTTCTGCACTTACAGGAGATGTAGAGGGCTAAGATGACGGCTAGCAGGGTTATGACGACGTACGTAAACCAGGAGATATGTCGTGAAACAAAAGGCTCATTAATAATTTTATCAAGTTGTTCAGAATACTGGTTCAACTTGTGGTTGGCGATCTCTAGCTCTTCTGTATCGATCTTGGTTAGCTTCATCGGTTTCAGGTTCGGCAAATTTTGTTTATCAGGGAGATAATTGCAGCATTCGTAGGGTATCCCTACAGGGTGGCTTTTATAAGTGATATTCTTATAAGCGTTAATAGAATATCTGGCATGAAGCCTTGTAGTGCCTATGAATCCACTGCATTATGGCTGCATTTTCAAAAATGTATTAGCTTTGATCACCTTTGTAGTTGTTTCATGTCGTCCGCATTTCATTGTGATGGGCAACGGGCTAGATATGGTAATCAACCAAAAAATTGGTTGCTAATTCCTGGATTTTATAATCCTGCAGAGCCACAATGGCTATTTGACATGTTGCTGGCAGATCGACCGGATTTCGCAACATTTGTGCTTCGCAGACTGCATTGTTGTCTATTGGATATGGCAGGAGGTTAAAACAGATCTTAATCTGTGATTGGAGAATTTTGCAACTACCCAAATTTTGAAAGGAGACGTACAAAGGAGAATCGCTATCTTTGGCAACGTATCCTGTAATGTAGAAATTACATGAAATAGACCTGTACGTTCATCTGAAATGGGTAGAGGAATCGCCTTGTATAAAGTGTAAACTTCAGGTTCTAACAAGGGGATGCGTAGGACGAAAACTACTTTTGTTTTTGTTTGAAATGCTTGAAGTTCCATTAAATTGAGATATTCTGATACTGTTGCCAAATTGACTGGCATAGGTAAATTGTTTTTTGATAAGGAATGAATCAATATACGTATGTTCGTTCATGAGTATATATCACACCGACTAGCGGGTTGATGTTAGTTTAAATTTCTAGGGTTGAACATCCATGAAAATTTTTTGAGTCTCTACTTTGTTATGTGAAGTGTGTATGTGCGTGAATTATTGAATAGTTCAGCTGTTTTCGAACCTGTAGCACCTTGCAGGATTCTCTTTCCTTATTACCTGTGCGGTAAGACTCTTAATCGCCTAACACGTAGATTCAGTTTTGCACATGTATTTTTGTACTTAGCTGAGCAAAAAACACATTCTTCATTTGTTTTCCTAACAGATAGTCCAGGTATATTAGGTCCATGCAATTGTCATGGCACCTGATGTCTGTAACTTCTGCGAGGACAATTTCATTGTTAAAACCAAACTTGTCAAATGCAGTTTATGTAGCGGTAAATTCCACTGTCATTGTGTTTCCTTTAAAGATGCTTGGCTTAAAATATTTTCAGATTGTGATAACATCCACTGGGTATGCAGCGATTGCAAAATTGTAATGCAATCAAAAGCGTCTCTTACTAGAATCAGTATTGAATCTATGCAGAGGGAAATTGATCAATTGAATCGTGAAATTAGTATAACTAAGAACCATCTTGATGACTTGCAGTACACAGTGTCGCTTCAAAAATCTGTCATTGAGTCTAATGAGAAGATTTCTTCGCACTGACCAATCCGCTATCATTCCTGGACCGAGCAAGTACAGCGATGTAGTGAAGAGAACTAAAGTAATTTCTTCGACGCTCCTGATTAAGGCTGATAACGACGCAGATGTGAACGCAATTCTCAGTGAAGTAAAGTCTTCTGTTAATCCAGCCAGCCTTAGTGTTTGCATCAACAATACTCGAAAAATGCGTAATGGTATTGCTGTGGACTGCAAAGATGGCAGTTCCCTGAGCACACTGAAAGATAACCTTTGCAATAAATTGGGTTCTAAATATTCAATATCTGAAGCTAAGAAGCTGAATCCACGCCTGCTTATAAGAAACATTAATTTGGATGGTCTTGACAATCCTGATGATTTGATTTCGAACATAGCTTCTCTCAACAGCATTGATGGTTCTCTACTTAAGTTTGTCACTAAGCTCAAATCCTCCCGCGGAATCA